ATGATGTTGCTCAAGATTTTCTTTGCATTGGATTTATTTGGATTTTTAGCCCAATTAATTGATATGAGAGAGCTATTTTTGGCCTTTCAATTATAGGCAAAGTTTTATTTTGGCCTTCCAATTATAGGCAAGGTTTTATTTTGGCCATCCAACTCTAAAACTAAAAATCTTTGGCCATTAAACTATCATAATAATCATTAATAATTGGATATTGGGTAGTTTCAACGTTGGTTTTGCTAACATGGATGACAAATGGTAGTGGGGTTTTTGCAAAGTCTATAAGAATTGGGGCTTTTCGATAGAGATTTGTCCATTGAGGTTTGCGGTTAGATAAACAACTCAATGGTATTCAATTCATATCTCTTGGATTTGTAGAAGGCTGGCCACATCACTAGAAAGTCTAGAGAAAGATTGGAGTGACAAGTGTACAACATAGAGCTCAAAGATTATTTTTCTGAAAGGGAACGTGGGTGGCTGAACCAAAGGTGTGAGGGAGTGAATTGAGTTGCATAAAACTTAACATAGGACTTCTACAAGATGTGACACCACAAAAAGATAAACTTGCTTGGAAGAGGTATACTAGTGTTTTCTACTATTCTCTACCTACCAAACCCACCAAGAGTTTTACATTCTAGAGCCAAACCTATCAACCTAAGCAATTCTAGAAAATGTAAAGACACATAAAACTAGCATGTGTGAAAACATAACTGCAAATAAAGAGGTCAAATAAGTTGGTGCAAACTCCAAAGTCAAGGTGACTTATTCCATACTATCGGTTGCCAAAACTCAAATGTTAGTCCAAATTAGAGCTCCACTGAGTTATACTCCTTGTGACCAAGCATTCTCTTGGTCACGATGTTGGGCTTGCCACTAGGGGTGAAGCTAGCTTAAAATCAATGGTGGTGCACAATAATGATAGCCTTGTAGTAACACATTAATTTCAACTTATTTATATTACAAAAAACTACTTACTACTAACTATCTTTTGCCTGGTGCTAGTGCACCACCCAAACTTAATGCTGTGTCACCCTACTCGCCACAAAGCTTCAGCCCACCAAGGAAGGTGATGCAAGACAGTTAGGCTCACCACAACCACCTGACTTCCTCGGTCACCATATTGTCATCTACTACAATGTTTCATTACCAAGGAAGGGTCTTTATCCCTTGCACACCAAGTTGCTGCCACTCCACACCAATCTCGGATAGTTTATGTTGCTGGAGAGCCATCAAGATTCCAAGCGCTCTTCTTGCCAAGATTACAAGGGCACAAAGCCTAGCATTTAAGCTCTCAAGAGAAAGGTCTAACACACTCACAAAGATGATCAATAAGCACAATTCTATCCTTGGATATGGTCACTAACTCTCATATATGGTTGAAGTGTCCCTTCAAGTGTTTCTATACCCCATAGCTTTTCTTGTCCCCAACCTCCCAAAATGGCTGGTCAAGGGCATATTTAAAGCCCTCAAACAACTCCTAGCGGCTAGGTACAAACTCTATAATAAAGAAATCACAGAACAATCTGAAGGTCCCAACACTACTATAGATAGTCCATCACAGCCGATTTGTAATCCTCATCGCCATCGGTTTTGGCCCTCGGTGGTGAAATGTCGTTGATGATGTCCATGGTCTTCACCGCCAGTTCACAACCGGCAAGGATAGTATGCTAGCACTGACGGTTTGGACTGTAAGCCAATTGTGAAAATAGAAGGATCACCAATGGGTCACATTATGATACGGCGATGATGATCCTATAGTCAATGTTGATTTACAAAATCATCTGGCGGTAATGATCTATTGATTGTTGTCGGTGCAGATGTCAACACCAGCGATGTTGGCAGTTGCTTCACCACTAGTCAATGGTGTATTTTGGTGGTGATTAGCATTTGATCACCTGTGGTCAGTGGTCCAATGAGGCGGTGATGAGTGTTGGCGGTGCTTAACTCTTGTTTTCACCCGCTAACTTTACATAAAATCCATACAAACAAACACCAAAACCTAGTAAATAGGATTTGCAACTAACCAATTCCATGAGTTTTTGTGATTTACCATTTGTAGGAGGACATTTCAGGAATAACACAAGAAACTTAACAATACAAATACCCGACGTATGCCAAGCGGGAAGGAGGCCCAAAACAAGTGGAGAACAATCCCAAAATCAACCCAAACTAACTTAACTCTGCGCAACACCACCATGAAGATGGGCTGATTTGGAGTAGGCCATGGTGCGGCGGCACCCCTGGTGTGGCCACACCCCGACCGGCCCTGTTTGGCCCAGGATTCAGTCGGTTGATGCATACCGCCTTGCCCAACGTTGGTGTGGAGGTTTCGCCCAGGTTCATCGTACATGGAGGTCAGTTTGGTGCCTTCCATGAGGGGATGGAGCATTTTCCAAGTGACCTCCTCCTCTCCACCTATAAAAAGAGACTCCCTTCTCCTCATTCAAAAAACAACACCTCAAGGAAAAGAGCACTCCACATTTGAGCAACACTCCAAGGGCTTAGGCCCTAGTAGCTATCTAGAGTAGTAAGGGAGAGATGTGAGGGAGAGTACGGGCAAGCGCCGGGCTTGTTGGTGTCTCCCCAAACTTGTACCTCAACGGATCATCCTTCTAAGTGAGTGTTTCATGATTCTTATGTTATTAAGTCTTTGTTTAGTTAAGCTTTACTCTTGTTTACGGGTTTGTTGTCCGTTCTTGTAACGGATACTCTAGTAGAGGTCCCTAATAAAGACGGATGACCCTACGCAACGCTAGAGTAGTAGTCAATAGCAAAGACGTGGTGTCCAGGCTAGAGGCTACCTTCGTTTGCCTCGTGCCCCACGGTTGAGGGATAAGCGGCAGGTGGTGACAGCCCTGTCCGTACCTTGTAATCCCCCACGTTTGGGTTCGATGTAGAGCTATAGACCGGTATCACTTGGCAGACCAGGTGTACACCGGTGCCCAAAGCAAGCAAGTAGAAGTATAATTTATCTATCCTTAGACTCTAAAACCATAGGAATCAATCTCAACCTCTTCCAACTCTATCCTTGTGTTGTCCTTAGACGAACTAGCTAGAAGAGTACCTCGCTCCCTGTGAAAAATACGATACCCTGAATACTTCCGGGTGAAATGCTACAATGGTAGTTTCGTGCGCTTTGTGGATTATTTATGTATGCGTTGAGAAATACCAACAATGAACAATTGATCATAGGTGGTCCAATGCATATACCCGTTGGTGATCATTACTAGATCATCGTCGGTAGATAAAAAAGAAAATCGATGACCTTCACTGATGGAACGATATTCCATCCAGGTTTTGACAATATACTTATTAATTCACATGGACCTTAATAGATATTGCATTACTTTCTTGTCTTAAGCTTGTGCTTTACTTTATTGCGTGCAATTCTTTTGTGCAACAACGTAACTAGGATTGCTTGTTAGAGTGTGTTCATTAATAGGTTTTGTTTCCACACTAAGTACCCTTCTCCTAGTGTGATCATGAGCTTTACTATAGTTGCTTATATCATAGGATTGTATCACTTGTGTAAATTTCGTGATAGATGCACTTGGCATGTTTACTGTGAACGAATCTTGCTAAGGACAAGATTAGTGTGATCATTTTGGTCGTATGGTACCACCGTGCAAGTGGCTAAAATAGAATTTGCATATGCTAAGATTGTTATTCAAATTTTTTGAGGTTCTCATTCTTGGACCATTTGGCCCCTTCGACAGCTAGAAAGAGATGCGCATACATAACTGTTGACTGCTCCCTCCATTACAAATTATAAGATGTTTTGTTTTTTAGATACATAACTTTTGTTATGCACTTTCATAAATACTATGTCTAGATAACATAATAAAAACAATGTATTTAGAAAAGTCCAAACGCCTTATAATTTGAAATAGAGGGAGTATTTACTTTGTCTCGTACAGTCATATAGTGCACCGACAAACCTACTCTTCCATTTAAGGCTTTGTTTAGCTGCACATAAATCTACCCCAATCCGCGTGGATTGGGTGCAGCCAAACAAGCCCTAATTTGGATTTGATGGATCACTGTAGATGTTCCTGTTGCAAGCAGCGCCATATATTATTTGTCGGCAGAGTCCCTTTCCTCGGTAATGGATCTATCCCAGCTAGAGCTATTACTTAATTATTTTTATGACTGTCCCTATCAATAACCATAAAATCTGGATCTTCCATCAGCATGTTCGGGAGGCCGTATTGTATTGTGGATTATTTAATGCTGACTGATTTAGTGTGAGAGAAAAACACTGTTCCCGACTGAAAATTTACGATCATTTACGAGCAAGCGAACATGCTGCATATCTTTCTTCGTACAGTAGGTTCTGAGTTTCTGACTGCCATATCTTTCTTCTGACTGCCATGTGTGTTGTGAACAACGCGCGCAGTGCACCATGTGCACGATGCTAGTGTTGGCGTCCAGTCTGTGTCCAAACACTGGTGTTTGATCGGCTACTAAAATTTAGAAGGTGTGTTAGAAGAATGTTGCATATGGTGTTCAGATACTAATAAAAAAATAAATTACATAATCCGTCAATACTTCACAAGACGATTTTTTTAAGTCTAATTAATCCGCCATTAGCATATGTTTACTGTAGTAAATATTGTCAAATCATGAACTAATTAGACTTAAAAGATTTGTTTCGTAAATTAGTCATAAACTATGTAATTAGTTTCGTAATTAGTCTATATTTAATACTCCATGTATATGTCAAATATTCGATGGGACAACGACTAATTTAGGAGAGCAACCAGAAACCCCCTTATTGGGGCAGCAGCTGCTAGCTACCCAGCTTGTGTATTCCTGTTCCCTTTCGACCACGTCGTCCAGTCGTCTCCTTCTATCGATACGATGCTTCCAGACCTCAAAAGATAATACGACCACGACGCGCGCGACAAACTCAATAAATCCGCCGCGAAGGTGCATTCCAGTTTACTCGCTGCATCTTGCGCTCTGTAGCGAGCCAGCCCCGGCCACATAGCAATCGCAGAGCAATGAGTTTTCTGTTGAAGACCAGGAGTGAAGGGAACCAACAAAAACAGGCGTCTCCTCAGGAACAACAGCGAAAGGTACCAGTCAGAAACTATGAATTAATGTCCTTTCCTCTATTTTCTACTGTCGATATATGAAGTGACAAGAATCTCTGGAGTCCTGGACATGAAGATAGAGGAGGTTCGTGAGCTGCTGGGCGACCTGCCGACGGAGACGCCGAGCTTCTTGTCGGACGGCACCATCCGCCGGTTTCTCCGAGCAAAGAACTGGAGCATGGAACAAGCGACCAAGGCTCTCAAAGAGGCTGTCAAGTGGAGGCGTCAGTTCAAGCCAGACAAGATTTGCTGGGTATTTGAATCTTCGCTATACTTTGAATCTTAATATTGTAGAGGTTCTTCTCAAAATTAGAAAAATACTACTACTTCTTGGTTTACCTTTTCGTCGTAGCTTGATCCTCTCCGCTCTTGGAGATCAGGGTGTGTTTGTTTCAAAAAATGAGGTGGTCCATCATTTACTTATTTCTCACTTTTTCTTGTTTGGTTCGTGGATCTATCATCATTTTATTCCTCATGAGCTAATAGTTAATATATGCATGAGAAATGGATCGATTCAACCGAACTAATGGAGTGAAATTATGATACACAACCTCACGAAACATCAGGCTGATAACATGGACACCAGCGCTTTACTAATAAATTTACTCACATGTGCATGTATAGTCTACACATGTATCTCGGTGGGAAGGTAACTTCCCAAAATGATCTACGCTTGATTTTACGCGTAGTATTTGTTATACACCGGTAATAACGAAGAGCATATTTCTTCTCGGAAATGAATGTTAGGAAGACCTCGCTAGCCAGGAGAACGAGGTTCAAAGAGCATATATACCAGACTATCTTGACAACAATGGGAGAACTGTCTTCGTAACAGTGCCGTCAAAAAAGGTCAGTTTCAGTACACCTGATGCACCATATATCGATCTCAATACTTAACCAAATGCATGTCTTAGGCCCAAACTGTACAGATTCAACTTTTACACACCCAACAACAACGTAATTACTCTTACAAATTATCAGCATGTTCGTTTATTGGTTTCAGCCAGCCCAAACCAGTTAGCCAACAGTGTTTTTCTCTCACAATAAACCAGCATCAGCCAGCCCAAACCAGCCCAGAAACCAACCAAGCGAACAGGCCGTATATAACATCACCAAACGGTTTTTTACAACAATTAAAGTATTTGTTGTCACTGATATAAGTGGTATAAAGGCTACTCCCTATGTGTTTGTTGTCATTAATATAAGTGGTATAAAGGCTACTCCCGCTGGGTCGTACTGCGCACAAATATTAGGTGCTAACCTATTTTAAATTATGAGATGTTTTAACTTTTCTATATATATTATTTTTATTATGTATTACCTAAGGGCGCACTAAAAGTCATATCTTTAAAAGGTTCAAGTGTCCAATCAATGCCAATGAATCATCACCAAGGCATTTGACGATTCAGCGTTTAGCTTACATTCAAACTCCGGAGCATCGAATAGACTAATACTTATAGAGAATTGATCAAATCAAATAAGGGGCTGTTTAGTTCCCCTCCAAAACGTTAAATTTTTTAAGATTTTCCGTCACATCGAATCTTTGGACGCATACATGAAGCATTAAATATAAATAAAAAATAAAACTAATTACACAGTTTAGACGAAATCCACGAGACGAATTTTTTAAGCCTAATTAGACTATGATTGACACTAATTACCAAATAACAACGAAAATACTACAGTATCATTTTGCTAAAAATTTTGACAACTAAACTGGGCCTAATATAAACTGGAGAGCAACGGTGCTCAGTATCCAATCCTATGGCCTCGGATGAGCCACCGTGTCAAGGCCCCTAGCTGCACAGGCTAGAGCTATGACAGCCCGCCAGACGATGCTGCCCGCCAGACGCCTGAGCTGCTCCCCGCACGCCTGCCGGTGTTGTCGCCCGCAAGACGACCGTACCCGGCTCGCCGCGCCGCAGTCGCGGCCTGACCCGCGAGCACCTCTTCTGCTGTGGCCACCGGGCCTTGTACCAGCCGTGGGCGCTGGCCTGAACTAGCACTGTACCTCATGCCACAGCCACCGTCCTGGACCCCTGCACCTAAACGCGCCTCCTGCCGCCGGCCACTGCTGCTAGTACCGATGAGAACAGTGCAAGACGGAGCTGGTCTTGGCCGGTCTTGCCTTCAAACGATGGGATGAGAATAAGGACCGCGTTCGGAGGGTACGGATGGCTACTGTAGCGCGGCTTATTTTAGACGGTTGAATATGATTATGTGAGAGACAATAAGCTGAAACAAGCTGAAAGAAGCTGGGACATGACCAGCCGAACGCGTAGTTATTTAGTTTCTCCCTTAAAGTTTAGTCCTATCACATCGTATGTTTGACACATGCATAGAGTATTAAATATAGCCTAAAAAATAACTAATTGCACATATTGCGACTACTTTGCGAGATAAATTTTTTAAGCCTAATTAATCCATGATTTGACAATATGGTGCTATAGTAACATATGTGCTAATGATAGATTAATTAGGCTTAATAAATTCGTTTTGTGGATTCCTGAGGACTTCTGTAATTTGTTTTATTATTACTATCGAAACACTCACATATGACACCCTTATATGACATCCGACGTGACATCCCTAAATTTTAGCCTCTGGATTTAAACACCACCTTAATCTGTTTATAATCGTTCAAAGTTAACTTTCCGTGGAGGCAAGTGGCTCATTTATAATTTCTAAACATGGGGATAAAATTATAGGTTTCAAAAAGTAAAAAGTAAAATTACCAATAGTTTCTACGGCAAGGGCAAACACCAAATCCATTTTTCAAAATTTATTATACCAAATGCACCTGGCAATGTTTTCCGACCAAAGCTCACCAATCCCGTCACGGCAGCATGCTAGTTGAAGTTCCAAATATATATTTATCTGATTTTATTCTTATGTGTTCCTAAAGAAATAATAGTGAGGAAATTTTGACACTAATAAAAATCATACACTAGTTAGAGAGTAATATTTAGTAAAAAATAACCTAGTAAATATTGATAATGCAATAGTTGCCACTAATTATGTATCATATGTGACACGTGCTTTTGTCACTAATAAATATTGTAGCAATAAGAAAATTTATTTGGTCACAATTAACTTTGTAAACAGTGACTAAAAATATTTTGCCACAACATTTTCTCACTAATTGTGTGCCATATGGCGATATAAAATTTTGTCACTGATAATGTAACAATAGTGGGGGAAAATTATTTAGTCACAATTAATTTGGTGAATAGTGGCAAAATATAATTTCGCCACAATATTTTCTCACTAACATTGAACCATGTGGCAAAATAATATTTTCTCTCTAATAAATGGCATAACTATGAGAAAAGAATATTTAGTCACAATTAACCTATTTATTAGTGACAAATTAATGTTTTTCCACTAAGTTCACCAATGAAGGCGCATCTTGTGGTGATACAATAGTTTGCCACTAATAACCGACGCAGTAGTGATGAAAGTTAGTTTGATCACTAATAACATGGGGATCAATGACAAATCAAAATTTCACCACCACATTCTATCAATGGTGCTCAATCTCCCTATAGTGTCCCATATGTATATCTTTAGATTTAGGGTATACATGGCCTGACAAAGTATAAGTAGATGAAGTATATGATCATACTAGATCATCAAGGGCAGTATGTATGTCAGAGTATATGGTTATATTTATTTTATAAACTATTATAATATTATTATAATAATATATTAAAAATATGGGGTCTTTTGAAAATTTTCACATAGTAAGATTTGGAGTATGTTAAAATGAGTACACGAGTACCTAAACATACTGAAACTGATAAATGAGTATGCCCACATTCACAATATGGTTTATTGAAGATGAGAGTAACTACTTCTAGAGTAGAAAAAACATATATAATTTTTTGCTTATGTGCAAAACAATAATTGATATAGAGAGTATGGAGCTGTAACACCTTGGTGTAACAACTTCGGCACGAAATCCAATAGTTCAACATTAACTTCAACAGTTTGGATCCGCCTTCATAGACACAAAATATTAAATAATTAATTAATATGATTACAGTAGATATAGTGACATAATATCATGCATTGTAGCGGTTGTTTCTTTAAAAAAATTAAGACTACTCTTCTCATGATGTGGATTCGATATTGGAGTATGATATTATAGATTGGCATTAGCCTACTGTTGATCACAAAAAATGTGTAAACCTCATTGTTATATGTTATAAATTTGCCTGTGTTCTCAAGATATATTATAACACCAAAAATGGTGGATGACATTGGAGACCATGTCTCTCAACCGTGAATCAAATATTTTTTTTGGATAGTGACTGGAAATATGTTAGCTATATGTTAGCCAAGAGCTTAACATTTGGTTTTGTAAGATACAATAGATAATCCATACGAGAATGCATGATTCTATCAATGACACATAGATCTTGTAGAAGTTTTTATTATGTGTGATTTGGAGTAGACAACTTCAATCCATTGCATAACTGTAATAGATCGATAACATGAGATTTTTAGCACGCGTCCTTGAGATTCTTGGTACCCTTGAGTCTTTTCCCTATACAAGAATCAAAATTTATATTTTAGTAGCCTCAAATTCTCTCAAGTTGTCTAATTTTTGTCTACTACCTCATTGTGGTATTGTGTTTCTCTTGCTGACAGGGTATGCAGTCACTATTCGCCCTTATAAGATATGTATACATATAATATAGGCCACAAGATCTGATACAAGTAGGAGTCAAACATTTATTTCCATTCTCAAAGTATAGGAATCCCAAAATTAGAATCACACTAGCTTTTGTGTAGCACCCGGTTTTAAGAGCAAAACCAGATGCACACCATATGTGAGCCCAGGAAGTCAAATATCACATATAGCTACAAATAAAGATAATATCGGAAGACAATGCTCAATATATAACGTACTTAGTATAAATGATATAACCTTAGACAGCAAACAACGGAAAGACAACTCCGATCTTCGAGTGAAGACTCTAATTCCACATGAACAACTGACTGGTTGATTACAAGCCTAATTTCTCCAAACTCTAGCAATCTGGTACCCATCCAGAATTTTTCCAAAGTATTAAAAAATAAAGCAAGCGTAAGTACATGTCGTACTCAACAAATATAACATGGGGTTCATGAGGCTCAAAAGGCTGACACTGGCTTAACTGCGATTAGCTATTAATGAGTAATCTTTTAGCAATAGGGCGGCAACAAAGTTATCATAAGCCCATAAACACATGATTAGGTAAACATGAA